ACCAAACTCTGGTGAGTTTTCGGTCGACAAATCACCGAGCCAATCAAAAATAACTTGGGGCGAGTTACCCTGATTGAAACTCTCTCTTTTATAATCGAAATCTTGGAACTTTTCAATTAGAATCCGTCTTTTTTCAATGGCATGCAATGTGATAAATTCATGGACATTCACTGGCCTAATAGGTGCTTTTCTTGATCTGTCCATACTTATTTATTGGTTTGTGGATCAGCGGCTGCTTATTTGGCTTCAAAATTTCTGGGTTTATTTGTACTGTCCTCACCTTGTCCTTGTAACTGATTGTTTGGATACGCAGATAAGAATAATTGTTTCCAAACCATGTTCCTTAGAGTCCCATCTCTTACAATCTCCTTTGTTCAATCTTCTGTTACGAAAAAGCATCCTTTTGATTCAATCTGGAACAGCTTTTAGATGATGAAGAAGAAGAAGGTGATAAGCAATTGGCATGTGGAAGTTGAAATGGAAGGGAAAGCATCTTCTAGTTCATGGAATAAGACGAAGAATTTGGTTTAGGAGTCAGAGGCCTAGAGTTTATCTTAAACGGCGTAAGAGAGATGCTGGTGGTCATCATGGAATGCTTTTCTCTCTCTTTCGTATGATCCTTTGGTCTCGATTACTACCCCAACTAGTTTGAATCCATCTGCTACTGTTGGTAAACTGGGGAATGATGTTGCTGAAGAGAGCACGGCATCTGTTAATTCTGAAGGTGATGATCTTTTATAAAAAGTTTACTTTTATCTGTGTTATTAGAATTTCTTTTTTTTTTTTTAACTTTGTTTTGATTATGTTGAAATTTCATTTTAAGCATCGTTTGGATGATATGAAATGTCAACAATTAGCATAGGATTGTATTATTAGGATAATTATTTACCTTACTATATAAATGAAGATCATTGTCAAATTCACTCATTTAATATTTTGGTATCTATTTCATAATAACTGTTTTACTAGCAAAGCTTGTAAATAAGTGCATCAATGGGGTTACTTATATTTCAGCGTCCATGTTGAGGATTTGCCTAAGATAATTAAGAATTATTAGATTCTCAAAACTTTTTAACTACAATCTGATGGAGTGGTGCTGGTTTAAACAAATGTGTTTTGGTTGTGTATATGGCAAATCCATATGTCTGTGCAACAAGGTTTAAGTCACAACTAAATAAAGCTACTGAGGTTTTAGTGGTAGATTGTTGTTGATGCGATAGAGTCCTGCTCTACAATCTAAGTAAAAGGTATTTTTTCTTTCAGGAAATGTTTTGCAAATTCTCCACAATGCTTTGAACATGAAAGGGAACGCAAATAATAGATGCTTGTGTTTTTTAACTAGTATTTTCACTTCGCATGCTAATGCCACATCTAATGTGCATGGTTCTGTAATTTTAGATGGCAGGAAAACTTCAAAAGAGATTGGATTGCCTAAGCGAGGTTCTCAGGGTTTTGAAATGGATGATGACCATTTTGCTGAGAATAAACCCATAGAGAAGGAACTAGCACTGGCTTGGTACCAGATCAGGATTTTATGGCTATGACACAAATGCAATTAGATTCTTAGAACAAGCTCTAGACGAAGAGCATGCTGCTTGTACTGCTCTGTACCTTGAGGTTGAGAAGGTGAGAAGTGCTGCTGCTACCGCTGCAGATGAGGTTATGGCAATGACGCTGCATCTGCAAGAGAAGGTGACTATTGAGATGGAAGCTAGGCAATACCAGAGGAAGATAGAGGAAAAATCTGCATATGATGCTGAAGAAATGAATATTCTCAAAGAGATCTTATTAAGGGAAAAGCATTTCTTGGGGAAGGAAGTTGAAGCTTACACACAAATGTTTTTTGACAAAGAGTAATTGGATATTGATATGTATGATATGGCAGCCACAAAGGAACAAAGGAATTCAAATGAGGAGCCAGTGCTAATGTTGCAGCAGATCAGTAACTCTGTTGGAGGGAAGGAAAAGACAAAAATTAACATTGATTTTTCTGAGAATGACATCACATCCATCAGGTCACCAAATCATACTCTTGGTTTTGGGGAAGAATTACCAATTCCTGAACTCAATGAAGATGCTGGCTTTCTAAATTCTAGTATTGAAAAAAAAAATCATGCCCCTCTGACTAGAAGTAATGATGAGATTAATCAAAAATTTAATGAGAAGGGAATGGCATCCAAGAACAAGAATCTCAATCAAGGAAGACATGTACACTCCCATCAATCATCTACTCCTCGGGGATCTGATTTACTTGAGAAAGCCATTTACCCTATGGTACAAGAAGAGGAGCAAGGCAGTGAAAGTAGTCTAGACCAATATTTGACACCAAAGACAACTGAGGCTAAGATTATTTTCCCATATAATAATGAAAAAATGGAGAAGCATGGAGAAGATTTATATGGTTTAGATTCTGGTATTGGTTATCATGTTCTCGATGTTTATGTGATTAATGATGAATCTAACGTGAAAAATGAAGAGAGTGAAAGAAAAAGTGAGAAGAAGTCAATAAGTGTTACCTCAAACTTACCTAAAACATGCTATAATCCAACAATTGGTGGGATAGAAATTGTGTCCAACAGGAAAAGAAACAGTTTAGACAGATCTGGTGGGTTACCACCAATTGGTTCTTCACGAGTCAAATCTTTACCTCCCATTTCGCTTAGAAATTCCATGTCTGCTTTTGATTATAAAAGGTTGAAAGTTACAATGAAGTTGGGTGGCTAAGAGAAAGGCAAAAGAATATACAGCAGGGAAGCGAGAAGCTCAGCTTCCCTGCAGGGAACAGGGAAAGGGAACAAGTTCAGTTGCAAATATTAGAAAACATTGCAAGTAAGCTTCGAGAGATGAGACAATTTACAGAACCTGGGACGGCTTTGCGCCAGGCATCTTTGTCCCCTCCATACTCTAAGGTGCCATATTACTCTCTTCAAGATCACATCTATATTTTACTTTCTTTTGTTTACATGATTACTTCTTCTGGCAGTGGACATTTCGAGAATGGCAGTCTGTGTCACCAGTTCTCTCCCATATGAATAATTATTTCTAGGTGTCATTTCACCTTTGAGCTGGCCCTCAACATCTTAATTGAGAGGTTAGCTGGTTGTTGATGATCTTTAAACTAATTTCTAGATGCCACTTTGAACCATATTCTTATTTTAAATTAAATGTTGAATGCTAGAAGATATGAAATCCATTTTTCTTGTGTCTGTACCACTCTCATTTTAGAACTATCATTTTGCATGCCATTTTCAAGATTAGTTTCTCTTGGCTGCTTTGTATATTGAGCTCTTCTCTGTAATAAGCAATAATTTTTCCTTAATAAGTTAGTATGACTTTTAGAGACTACACCTTGCTAGAAAGAGAATGGTGAATCTATCTTCTAATCCTCTTTTTGTTCACACAACATTTATAAGATTTAATAAGTTCCTTTTTTATTTGGCTGTTTTAAGCTCACAGACATAAAAATTAACTTTATCCTGGAACAATTAATTAATTGCTAGAGCTGTATGATTTCAGGTTTGTCAAAGAAAAGACATAGGCGGGTTGCTCCTTTAGGAGTGTTGAGAAGCATTTAAAACAGCGAATGGTACTTTTGGATGTTGATAATGGGATGATCTAGATGATCTGATTTGTTGGCTTGGCACCATTAGGGACCAGCTCATATCTTTGAATTTTTCAATCATAACTTTCCTCCAATAGCACTAGTAAGTTGTCTGCAAAAATTTTACATGTTAAGCATAATTGAAGGATATGCTAGAGATGGAGTAAATATGGTAGTTTCTGCTAATTGTTGTAGAATCGAAATTTGACTACTCAGTGGCCCTATGGGTTCCAGACAGAAATGAGCTTCTGTTGATCATGCTTCATGTAACTACCACTTGACATATAAATTTTATATCATAAAGTTTCTTTTTCACTAAATTTTTACTTTAAGTGCTTCTGTTGATCATACTTCATGTAACTCCCACTTGTAGTTGTAAACTTTTAAGTGCTTCTTTTTTCTTACTTAATTGCACTCTGCTGCTGTCTTGTAGGGGAATTTGTTAAAAAAAAATTTTTTGAAGGTTCATTTTAGATTTCTGTATCATTGCAGTCTTTTTTTTTTTTCTTTTTTGGTGTACAAGTAGAAGCAAAACCTGTTAGAGATATTGAATAAGCTGGAGACAAAAAAGAAACTTGATTCATTTTAAATTTCTGTATCATTGCAGTCATTTATTTTTATAGTTGAGGCTGCCAAAGATTGAACCCTGAACACTGGAACTAAGAGTCCAACATCACATGGCTATTGGCAAAGCCTGAGACTTGGGTGAAAAAATGGATGAACCATTCGGACGAAGTGTGAGGTTTGACAATTAACTTTTCCCTAATTTTGGATAATGAAGAATGATTTGTATCTCCAACATGGTGTTCATAATGAAGAGTCTTTTCTTCTAGTTGGAGGATGTATGGCATTCGCTGATAAAATGCACCTGTAAAATTCTCCAAGTAGGTATATGGGCTTCACGAAGTTTAATGATCCTATAATTTGACGTGTACTCGGTTTGGTTATGAGACAAAGGTGGATTGAGTTAAAACTGTATTTTTCTTATATATGCTACTGCTTTCTTATACGATAATATTTTTGTTATGCATGTTGCATTTGAAATGGTTCGTCGAAGTTAGTTTGGAAAGACAAACAGGAGATCTAGGAGTAAGAAATGGTAAATAAAGCACCAGGGATGGGCTTAATAGTCTCTTAGCAGTAAATTGATCAAAACTTTAGAGCCTCTTGGCTTCCCTCACGTCTTCTGTGAGAACATGGAATAACTTTAGGCTGCTAACTCTGCAACTCGAAAGAAATAAGGATAAAATCCAGAGCTTAGTTCAATTGATTTATAGTCACTTTTAAGAATTGGCATCCAATAGGTTTAGGATTCAAATCTCACTATCTGTAATCTTTTCTCTTATTTTAGGCTGCAGTCTCTTTTATAAAAATATATATATATGGACGGATAGCAAAATGCAATGCACTATTTCATTTCAATTGGGACTGATTGTATAACATAATCTAGTGATTTTTTTGTAGCCAACACATGAAATCACCTACACAAGTATGACATAACTAGTAAAAATAGTAAATTGATCAACATTACTAAAAACCAATACTCATTTTTTATTGATTGCATGTTTTACCATCTTGGAGATTAACAGCTGCATGCCTAGTTTAAGCATCATTATGCCTACTTTAAGCATCATCATGTCAATTTTAAGCATCATCATGCAGTGAGTGGAGTATTACTTGAATTCCATGTTGTGGCTGAAGGGTGAGAAGAATTATTGGTGAGTGGATATAGGCAGGGGAAAGGGTAATGGTATAGCGTTGTAGAACCATCGAAAGAGCAGTCTTTGTTTCTGTGGTTGCAAAGGTCATACCAACACAAGATCGAGATCCCAATCCAAAGGGAAAATATGCAGCGGCATTGTATTTGGTAGCTTTGGCAATCCCTTCCTTGAATCTCTCTGGTTTAAAAAGGTGCGCATCATCTCCCCATAATTGAGGGTCATGGTGAAGTGCCATGATTGAGATTACAAGCTCTATATTAGCAGGCAGCACTAGCTTTCCCAATTGAACTTCTCTTCCAACTTTTCTCATCAGGCTATGTGCAGGACCATACAATCTTAGAGTTTCATTAATGATCATGGTGATCTGTTTGCAGTATAGGAATTTGTCAGAATCAAATTAAATCACATAATTTAATATAATAAACGCTTGTTAGTCAAAGGTGAATCTAATAGTAAAGGCTAAAATTTTTTTCTCGATATTCTTTCTGTTGATAAAATTGATAAATCCATTATCAATTTATATATATATATATATATATATATATATATATCATAAATGAACACTTCCGAAAAATAAATCCTAGATCTGCCTTTGTTGATAGTATGCACTATATATATCAAAATGGTTAGACAGTTTTCTTACAGTTTTAAGTTTGGCAATGCCTTCAGAATGTGGATTTTGGTTACCAAAAATCTCAATCACCTCTCTTCTTGCTTTCTCTTGCCAATCTCTATGGATTGCTAAAAGCAAGACTGTCCAGGCAAGCAAGGAATTAACAGTTTCCTGTCCAGCAAAGTAGAATGTTTTGCACTCACCTACCAAATCCTCCTTTGAAAGCCTGTTTTTCTCGTCTAAATCATGATAGGCATTCACAAGTAACCCCAGAAAATCACTGCCGAAACTGTCAGCTTCTCCACTCACAACTTTGTCTTCTCTTTTCTTAACAATCTCCATCACAGAATCTTGTATTCCTTTTGCAAGTTCTTCTGACTCTAGAAAATCAGCACTTTTCGCGAACTTGCTGCAAAAAAATAATAAAAAAAAAAAACCAAGTCAGCTATATATGAAGAAAACAAAATACGAAAATCCATGCAAAGCTAAGCGTTGAGCTAAACTAAATCCATGGAAATCAAGACAAAACTTGGGATTAGTTAAGCTTAGAGGAACATACTTGATGACAGGAATTCTATCCTTCAAAAGATTTCGACTCACAATTATTGACAATTTCTTCAACATGTCAAAAATCTTCTCCCCTTCCAAGTAACTGCTGCCAAAAGCTGTTCTTGATATCACTTCTGAAGTCAACAATCTAAATTCTTGGAACACTTCGATCTCTTTGCCTTCTTGCCCTTTCCACTTTTCTAGCATTGTTTCAATGCTAGCAATTACTGCTGGCGTCATGTTCTGCCCAAACCATACTTCAATGTGTAAGCAGCAATATAAGATTTAACTAACACGAATCTGTCAGTAGAATGCAGGATTTTTACCCTTTCTAATTTAAGTGATTAGATTCAATCCTTGACTGTCTCCGGAAAAAATAAATAATATAAGATTTTTTTTTTGGTAACAAAGGAAGGTGTAATTTTGGATATGAAAGGGATTGCAAAATCTGAAATTTAAACTTCAGATTACTGAATACAACTTGTTAATGGTGGATGCATGATCCAGCTCCAAGTACAGATTTTTCAAAATTTGGCACCACCCTATGTATATAATTCTTCTACATTTAATTACAACTAATTCATAAATCATAACTGCTAATTTTTATAGTCCAATGGTTTTCGTTGGAGGCTTTACCTTTAAGCTCTCACCATGAAAAACGTAATTGGCCAGCTTTCGCTGCTTCGCCCATTTTTCACCCTCAGCTGCCACAAGTCCGTTCCCCAGTAGCTTGCTACCATAAATTGTAGGGTTCCTTTTTGGAAAAGTATTTTCACTATTTTTGAGAATCTCTTTGACTAGTTCTGGTTCTGAAATCACCAGTTGAGCTTGAACACCGTCCCAACAAAGATAATTCTTCCCTAATCAAAGAAAGAAGGGGTCAGTTTTTTGTTGGGACCTGAAGTTAGAAATCATAGTAAAAACATGTATTTTATCTCACCATATCTGTTGAACCAGGAGTACATATGAGGCCGCACTCTGGGAAATATATCATGTCTCAAGCCCATGGGCTTGCTTAATGCTATCTTCAACATTTTGGCAACTTCTTTGTTGTTCCCATGGATGAATTGATACGGAGGTCCTTTAATTCCCTGGGAATTCAGTATACGCTGTATACGGAGAGGTATCCACCAGTATTTGTAGAGGACCTTGAGTAGAGAAATGAGGAGGTAAAGGCAGAAAGAACATGTCAGAAGGATTAAAAGGTTCACCATGGCATTCATTTTCTTCTCTTCGCAATGAATTTAGATGTTCCTTTAGTATAGGATTATGATTTCTCCAGTAGCTGGGGGATTTAGGTTGTTTTTAAATGATAATTGACGTGTGATTTCCAATTTATTTTTATAGAGTATTTTGAAGCCATTATTCCATTCATTCGGCCAGAGACAAGTCCAATGATGCTGAGCTTGTTTTACTTTATTGAATTCATTCAATATTAGCTGGGAAGTACATATCCAAGGCAAATTATTTATAAGCCAAAACATCACTGTCTATTACGCCTTACAACTACTTGTTAAAATGAATCCGATTAACCTTTTCCTGTGTTACTCGTAGACCTTATAACTTTAATTTGCCGAATGAAACAAACCACAAAGAAATGACGTTCAATTAAATGGCTCTTATCTTTGTCCGATGCAGCAGGCCAGGCGCATATTGTCTTGCAGCTGAGATTCGATTTGTGGTGGGCTGAAACCCTTCTGTTTGGAATTTATAGCAAGGAGAGTGAGAAATGAAGCCAATATGTTGCCTGAATTTACACATTCCCTGCTGCTCTCGTTCGTGAGTTATTTATACAGGGAAAGACTACTAGTAAAACACCGTCAACACCCTTACATTAAATTTAATTGTAAGCCCAACATATTAAGATGTGACATTAACAAAAAGAAAATGAATGTCCAAAAAATTCTCATGTCAATAAATATATATTTACTTTTTTTGCAAAAAAAAAAAAATTGAATAAAAAGGAAAAGAGGAAATATTAAAAAAAAAAGAATAGAAATTAAAGCTAAATAGCAAAAAGTAAAAAATAATGTAGAATTTTTATACAAAAATAGCTTTTCTAATGAGATATTTTAAGAACAAAAATAATGTAGAATTTACACATCACTTCATGTTTGTGCGAAACTATAAGATGTCAAACTTTCATGCATATCTCTTATTATTATTATTATTATTAAAGTATATATAAATATAGTTCTAAAGAACTTTAAATTTATAGAATTGGTATCAAAACTTTTTCAATAAATTTGTTATGAACATTTTAATTAGAAAGTATAATTACAGAGAATTAATTAATTATTTTTGTACAAGAATTAAAAAATTATAGAAAATTAAGTAGGCTTCTATTTATCGAGTTAGTATTAAATCTCAAATGGTTTGTTAATAATAATAGAAATTATTTTGAAAATATTATAACTTTATGTAGAGAAATCTTTTTGTTTCAAAAATTAAATTTTGATTAGAAAATGTGTAGGCAAACAACTATGTAACACCTATCAAATTTAACAATTTTTTTCTAATTTTAATTATTAGACATTAAATCAAATAAAAAACTTAGGACATGATTATATACTTAAACACATAGAAATAAACAAATCAATTGAATAATGCCAACAAATAATCACAAGTGTAACAAAATCTATTTAACTCAAATATCTTTATTTTTAAAAGTCAAAACTAAGTCAAGTTTTTAATTGTGTTAAATCAAATTATTGAAATATTATTTCAATATTAAATCACTAATGATGCAAGAACCTAAAATAAAATTGAAAGACAAAATCTAATATGACTTATTATTTTGCTTTAGTTTATACTTATTATTAAGAGTTTAAACTTGTTTACTTTTTACCTTTTATTTTTTAAAATAATTAAAAAATTAAATAGAAAATTAAAGACAAATAAAAAAGTAAAAACGTTTACTAACTTCTTGTGCCATTAGTAAAAGGGAATAGAAATAGTACTTTCCCGTGGCTAAAAGCCTCGAACCGGAGAAAATTTCTAGGCTTCAAAGCTTTTTCTAGCGGTCCAAAATCCGACCACGTCCGAGGATGTTAAACCATGATTTCATGTCTAATGCAAACACAAAAATCAAAGGGATTTAAGCTCACTCACCCACTTTATTCAACAACTTATTTACCCTCTTCTGCCAATATAAATAGCCATTAAAATTACCTACAAATTACCTTTTTCTTTGAACTTTCTCAAATCTACCACAAAAAAAAAAAAAAGAAAGAGAAAAACCAAAAAGTTAATTTAACTGCCACCTTCATAAGTAAGCATATAGAACAAGACAATTCATTTCTAAAATTTCTAAAACAGCAGCGATAATAAACCTACAAATTAACTCAATTGATTCATATAGTTATAAAAGTGACATCCATCAAATCTACAATTTAAATCTCAACATTAGTAATTCATTTTTAATCTCTACTTTTATCTGCGACTGCGACTTCTTTTATTAAAAAAAAGAAAGCAACAGCCATGCACAACTTATGACAGCAGAATTTATGCATATCAATGTTACAAAAATATTCAAAATGGTCATATATATATTTATACATATGATATTATATGTAAGATATGAACAAGGAAATATTGGGGGACAGAGTTAAAACAAATAAAACTAAAAGCATAAAAAAGGGAGGACACTACTCCTCCATCTCTCTACCAAATTCAATAAGATTTTCTTACAACATGTGCAGTTAACTGGTTTCCAAGCAGAAAATAACAATAGGATACCCCATAATAAACATTGAAAACGTCAGTAAGTAGTAGCCGACATTTTTTAAACCAACAAGTAACTAGCAATATATTAGCTCATTAAGTAATGGTGTGGAAGGACTCAAGCATTTGATTCAATGGATGGTGCATGTTCTCCCAGCTCAAAGAGCTAGTCATGGAGCAGACTAGCAAAATGATTCTCCAACATCTTTATATCTGTTCCAAAATAACCTCTGCTCCAGAAACCTTGAAGTCAGATGGGGCCCCCTCCACGTTAATAGCTTTAACCTTTCCATCAACTACATATGCTGACCATCTACGTAAAAGCCAACAAGATTCTTAGCAGTGATTAAAAATCCAAAACCTTAGCATCAGTTTGTTGTCCAGAGTAATTATAAAACAAAGCCCTGGACAAAGTCATATATCAACTTGGTCCAAGGCATCTCCTTGGTTTATATGAGGAGTTTAATGTCAAAGCTATTTCTTTAATCTATATAAAATTCTAGCGACAAATGCATAGTTCTAGAAGTACCTTTCAGAGCGAGGCCCAAGCAAAGCTGCAGAGAGATCTTTTCCCAAGTCTAGGCTCTTGTGGAAGCTTCCATCTAAGTCTCCATAAAATTCAATCTGTAAAGGGATTTTAGATGGTTAAGGAAAGGAGAAAAGAAAACAGAACAAGAAAAACAGGGCGATAAGGGGATTGGCAGATGTAGCTTACAGTCATATTAATGCACTTGAATGGAGAAAAGGGAAGAAAAAAACACCAACAACATTGATGCTGAAATCTTAGCAACATAGCGTCAAGTTCAAATTGTATTAATCAACAGTAGACTACTCTGTTCAATTTAGAATATTACACTAACAAATTTGCGGGAAATACAATAATTGCAACAAATTAGGTTTTTTACTTGTTATTTGGCCTGCCAAAATCATTGCTTTATCATTTGCTTTCTTTCAAGTTCACTAGTAACAGAACAAAAGTGATAGAATTCAATTCTTTTGTCCAGCTAGGAAATTTGAATTATGCATGTATAAGTTACCAAATTGTACTGCTTTGTAATGTTAAAGATCTTATAAAGTTAGTGATCCATGATCCATGAGGTCAAAAATTAATAGGAAAAAAGAATGAGTCTCTTCCTACACAGCAGAGAAATCATTACATCTCTGCTGACTCCTGCATAACAATCAGGAAGAGCAAAACAAAATAAAAAAAATAAAACAGTAAATAATAAATTCAAATTGCAAAACAACAGCATTAAATCTATCAAATAATCAACTGAACACTATAAGAATTCATAGAATGTGCAAGCAATAATATATATATTATTAGCTTGAAATAACTTACGGCATCTTTAGCTTCCAGTTTGTCTGCCCAGGCATTCATGACATACGGATCATTAATGGCAACACAAATGACAGAATCAATTCCTTTAGCCTTGAACTTATCAAAGTTCTTCTTGTAACTAGGCACATGCTGCTGTGAACAAACCCCTGTATATGCTCCCTATAAAATCTCAAATCGGTATAAACCCAAACTCCATCAAATTACCATCCTAAACAATAAAATCAAAAACATAGCAAAGCAAATAGATCCACGTTCCACATCAGAGATGGGCAAATTGCCTTGATTAACTATTTAGTAAAATCTTCACATCTGAAAAGCTTTCAAAAGTTTCATCCCAGCTCTTAACACAAACTAATCACTCAACCGCCTTTCTTTAAATCGAAAGAATTCATCATATTATATATAAATTATATATATATTGTTAAGCGGTAAGGGGTTCCTAAGCTTTGCCTACTATATCCTCTCTCTGGAGCCGGTCCAGAAGACTTATCTAAACCAGGCCTAACGAATTAATGAGAAATTACCTTCCCACAGCCTCCCAGCAGATTTGATCACGTTATATATTTAAATCATGCATATAATACCAATCTTATTATTGCAATCTTATTATTGCCTCATTGAAAATAATTAATACATAATAATCCTCCAGAATAAATTAATATACATTTCAAAAAAATAAATAGAAACCAAAATGTCAAGCTCTGTTTTTTCCAAGAAAATCCCATAAAATCAAATTCCATTTCAAAATTTCCACATATATATAGAGCAAGTCAAATTGCCAAAAACAAGGAATGCACTAGCAAAAGAGGAAAAGTATAATAAAAAATAAAACTTACAGGCAGTCCAAAGATGACTACTTTCTTGCCCTGAAATGCAAAATTCAAAAATTAATAATTGTATTAATTATTAAAAATTTTAATTAGGAAATGTAGAGCCAAACCTTAAAAATATCTTTGAGAGACGTAGTGGAGAAATTGGAAGAGACGCCTTCATCCCAGCTTCGAGCTTTCTGGAGACTGATACTGGGTGCAGCAGAAACTATGTCCGTCCCTACTGCAACCGACGCGTAGCTTCTTCTTGAGGCTCCGATTAGGATACTCTCTACCCTTGATTTCAGAACAGATGAGGTTGCTGCTCGCTTTAGAAATTTTGACGCCATCGGCTTACACTGCAGTTGTCCCTATGGGATTGTTTGGCTGCTCGCTCGCTCGCTCGCTCTAGCCTCTGGCTCTGCTTCGGCTTGCTTCTTCCACAGGTTCCAGAAATGGGGTTGGACCGTTTGGTGGAAGATTTTCTATAGGTTTGCCAATGAGTTGGGCCTAGCTGCCTTTAAGTATTGTTGGGTTGAAAAATGCTAATTTTTGGTCATTTTAATTGAATTTTAGGACGAGTTCGATTTTATACATTGTTAATATAAATTTTAACTTTACAATTGAAGTTAAATTTGACACATAACCTATTTTTTAATTAAATTTCTATATATTTAATTTTGTTGTAAAGTTTAAAAGCTCTTATAATTGATCAAATAATTTTTTTTAAGAAACTTGTTTACTATAAATTCATTTGTTATTTTATTCTAATTATGATTTTATTTCACTTTATCTTATAAAAAATTGTGTTTTAAGAAGACTTGATGTTAATTTATTTGTTTAGAATGATATTTTGTGATTTATTTTATGCATCTTAGATTACGTGCTCATCTCCTATTATTTGAATATCGTATCATTTTGAATATTAGTGTAAAAATAAGATATATCATTTAGTTTTTTAAAATTTTTTATTTTTATACTTACATAATTAAAAAATATTATGCACATAAATTTTTTCGAATCGATAAAATGTTAATTTTAATATTATATTAACTAATTCAAAAATCAATCGATGAAATATATTATTTAACTAATTTGTAAAATAAGGGAATAAGGTTAGTTAGTATATGTTATTATGAATCATTATATATATATATATATATAGATATTGTTTGGCCAATTGGATCGTTATATACTTACAATTGTTTAAAACAATTATTGTAGAAGTAGTTAATATGATATTTTTTTATTAACAAAATAAGAAGAAACAATTTGGTCATTATTGGCGTCATGGCCTTGGAACCATTTTCAATCAGAAACATATAGCAATGATAATGGTACGAAGAAATGTTGGACTGAGGCTGAAGTTCATCTCTTTACCCAATCCAAACCAAAATTTCATTTGGTCATCTCACCCATGCAGTCGATAACGGTAAAATGAATTTGAAGGTTGAATTTTAATAATAATTATAATTTTTTATTTTTAAATTATGATATTTTGTGTAAAAAAATAAAATAATTAATTAATTCTTATTGCTTATAAAAAAAATTAATTTTTATGTGTGGATCATCATCCTTCAAATCTGACAATTGCTAATGTATTTAATTGTGAAGTTTTAAATTTACAATCTTTTGCATGCTTAAATTAAAACTTCACCTAAAAAACATATGGTGGCATTTCAAAGCTCGGAAAACATATCAAAACATGGCCTACGCCATATCTGTCTCACAAATCTGCATATATAATAATCTTAATGAATAATTGACAACTTTATTCATCATTTTCGATACATTTTATTCACATATTTAGAGAAGTTAAATTTTGTGTGAACTTCACTATTAGCTAGGCTTTTAGTGGGAATGAAAATCACTATGTGATAGCTAATTTACCGTAAAGAATTATAACATTTATACAAAAAGATAATTCAGAAGAAACAAGGCTTAGGGCCAACAGATTGTAAGAGGTTCTGATTGTTCTTTCGCACAAAAAAAGGCTTTAAAGTGTTTCCTTAAGAGATTGGTTAAAAAATTCGTCTATGTAATCCATAAATCTTGACCAATAAATCATTCCAATTTAAAATTAAAGGAAATTTCTGTGTTTAGTAATAATTTTTATTATATACATCTCTTTTTCGATATATAGTGATTCATATATAATAATAATATTGTAATGCTTCTCATCTCATATTGAAAGAATGTGTAAATAATATATAATATATATATAGATTTAAATTTAAATTTATGAAATATCTTTTGTGAGATAAAATCATAAGATTTTTAAATTAAAATAAATAATATCTTGCAGATTAAATACGAATTTTCATACTTAAATTCTTTAATTTTTGAATACAAAAATAATTTTCATCTATCATTCCACGTAAAAAACTTAATAACATTTTGTTAAACTTAACGGTGCATATCTCTTACCTCTCGGTTTCTATTAAAAAAATGATTAAAATGTGTCATAAGAAATCTTTAAATTATTTGATTGTTTAGTTATTCAATTAAACATGTTTATAGGCCAGATCGAGTAGGGCAGGCTCTATCTAAACCTGGCCGGTCTAGCTCAATAAGTGTAAAATTATTAAATATATATATTAAAATATTAATATTTTAAATTAAATTAAAAAAAGTTTATATTAATATTTTAATAGTTACTTAAAAATCTTTATCCATGATTCGTCGAGCCAAACCCGTCAGCCAAACAAGTAATTGGCTCGTGAATAGGTCTATATCTAATTACTTAAAAGAAATGAATTATCATAAATTTGTTAGTACTATTTATTGCATTCATAATATTTTTGAGTAATAAAAAAAATAGTACTATTAATATTGTAATATACCATAAATAATCATTATCATTGAGATTTATCAAAGTAAATGTTACTTGTATTCGAAATCTAATTCGTAATTTTATAATTTGATACTAACGTCTGTTAATTCAAGTAATAAAGAGTTTGACTCTTCTTAAATAAAATTTTAATTTCGAATCTTATAAATAAAAAAAAAAAAAAGCTTAAAAGATTCTATCCTATTTATGAGGTCCGACTCAATTCGATTATGAATTAATTGAGACTCAAAGTAACTACCGAACATCAAGATCCCAGACCAAAAAAAATTTTATAATTTGGTGTGAAATGTGTAGCTGATATCTAACAATTCCACGAGTGAATTGATCAAGACGTACAATTTTCTTACAAATATAGAATGTTGAAAGTTGAAGAAGAATAATCAATGGACAATATCACAAGGAGTTGAATTTTGTTATATCTTTTGTCATATTAATACTAAAAAACATATTATTATCTTCAATCATATTTAATTAATTTGTAGAGAATTCAAGATAATTGCATTCTTAAAATCATGACTTAGTCTAATTTAAAACGTTGAAGTTTAAAATTCAAAATCTTATATCTTAAATTAGTAGTAAGAATTATTATTTTTCTAAAACATTGAAGTTTAAAATTCAAATCCTTATATCTTAAATTAATAGTAATTCATCATTAAAAATTTGATCTAGAACTAGAAAATACAATACAATACTTTTTGCCCCTTTTCCAAGCCATGCAATTTTCTTTTTCATTTTCTTTTAGAAATCAAATAATCTACAATGACATGGTCCAAATGTAAAAGGATCAACAATATGCTTTGACCCACCACCTGGAAAGCAACAAAATTCATTTTTATCTATTATTCTAGAACTTATTTGAAAGATCAAATGGTGATATAAGCTAAAACAAAAGAAAACCTTCATCAATATCATTCAAAGGTTTGATAGACAATTTTTTAATAAAATGCTTTTGTTTGTCTTGGGTTACATTGTTAAAATTAATGTTATGATCTCATCCCACACGCCAATGCTTTGAACTATGTCTCTTTATTAAAAAAATCAGTAAAAAGAGGTTAAAGTCAGGAGATAAAAATTAGTTAAGAAAATACTTTTCGTCTCACTATTTTTTTTAAAATATTTGTATATTTTAATACGGCATTTTTTAAACACTGGATTGATTAGAGACAAAGTTAGTGGAGCAATTAGTATTTCAAGATTAACCACATATCAATTTAATATTTATTGTTTTGGAAGTAATTTAATATGCTAGTATTTGAGTTTTATTTTAGAAACTAGATTTTTTATATTCATGCTCTATATGGTTAATTTGATAATTAAATAATATTAAAATTTATAAAATTTTGATATTGATATAATTTTATATTGATCATTAATATCATATTTATTTTACTTTTTTAATATTGTACTTGAATTTCAAATATAAACATGTAAATCCCAATAGTAAAGATGGTTTAAATTGTTTTCTTTGAGATAAAATTTGAATATAAATACTAGCTTAATTATTCTTTTATTTATTTGATATATGAAATAATATTGTTTGCATCACATATTTACTTCATTTGAATTTTATTTTTTTAGAAAAAAAATGTGTGTTATTTGTTTAAAGAGAGGAGAATATATTATTACTAATTCAAATGATACAAATTTTATGTTGGCAAATGCAAATGCAAAATTAGTTGTAGAGAATGTTAACGAAAATCCCATGTGCTTGCATGCTATCCCATTAATTTGACTAATAAGATGCATTATAAATTCTTATAATTTATAATTGCACTAAATATATATATATTTTTAAGACACATAACTTTTAAGAAGTTGAATCCAAAAAAACTCACCCATGCCAATCGTATTACATTTGAATTCATTATAAAAATATTGTTAGGATTAATTTTTTAAAATTGATTTATACTTACTATATTTAAGTGGTTTTAATCTATTAAGATTTAATCTAAATATTTTTTGTAAAGCTTGTAATAAAATTACGTCTTCTAAATAAAAACATAAATATACATAAATATAAAAAGAATAACATGTTCTTAAATTTTAATATAATTGCATTTTAAATTTCATTTACAATAAAATTTCATTATTTCTTATATAAAAATTGATCTTGTAAATCATATAGATAAATTTGCAATTCTAATGCCAAAAAAGACATGTTACTAAATAATTAGTTAAAAACTTATAAAAAATATTTTTATTTTTAATTAAAAAGTATGAGACTCAACTTTATCAAATCCAATAAAAATTTTAAAATGAAAAAAAAAAATACAAAGAGCATTTATCATTTTTTTGTAAGTAAAAGAATCAAATAAAAAATTATTGAATTTGATTATCCAATTGAAACAAATCAAAAATAAATATTAAACAATATAATTCTTCTTATACTTTCATGAATTATTACTAAATAATTAGTTAAAAAGTTAGATAAAATATTTTTATTTTTAATTAAAAAGTATGAGACTAAACTTCATCAAATCCAATAAAAATTTTAAAATGAAAAAAAAAGAGCATTTATCAATTTTTGTAAGTAAAAGAATCAAATAAAAAATTATTGAATTTGATTGTCCAATTGAAACAAATAAAAAATAAATATTAAACACTATAATTCTTCTTATATTTTCATGAATTATTAGATGACAAAATTAGAATATATAAAAATTTTAATTAAAAATTTGTTACCACACATTAGAATTCTTTTAATA